ATCATATTTAGTGGATGATCCACAGCTGTCATGCTGTACATGAACACATATTCAGCAATTTAAGCAGCCATTTTCCCTCTGACAGTCTTTTCCTCCACCCGGGATCACTGGAATGAGATCTCTGTAGTCCACTCCTCCATAGGTACATCTCTCCCAAGACCCTCCAAGGGAATAGCCTCACTTACGGAACTCTTGGCCTGGCCCAGAAGGCCTTTTGCAACCCACCCTAGCCCTTACCTTCATAATGGTCAGGAAGTCTATAGCCGACTCTCCTGGGTGCAGGTCTCCTTTCCTTGTACAGGGCCTCCACATGCTTTTTATATTTGTACTGGTGTGGGGTGATTGGTTCCCATTCCCCAACTGCACTAGGGCTCCTCCCATCCTGTCCTAAAACTAGGCCATGACTGACCCATGGCATCACTACAGGAGGACTCTAACGAAAATGGGCATAGCACTTGATAACAATGATTTCTATTCTGGAACAGAGCCACCTAGTGGTAGGCTATATAGTTGCACCTGCCTACATACTGGTAACATGACAATCTTGCCGGTAGCATGATAGTAATCTCTGATAAGTAAAGTAAAATATGTATGTTACTGTATTGCGATGCAATAGCTTGCAGTGAGGTTTTTTTTGTTTTAACTGCACTCCATCACTAAGGCTAGGTTCAAATCTATGCAGGTTGTGGTTGATGCATTTTTTTGGCGCATTTTACGGTGCATTTTACATTTTGAACACATGTTTTTGCTGCATTTTGCATTTTTTTTTACTAATAGAAAAGTATGACAGTTCTGTTCATGTAGACTGTTCATGTGACTTCGATGTGACTTTACACTCTCTGGCACTCAAAGTAGCATCAAAGTCACCTCAAAATAATGCTGGAACCTTTATATGACCAAAGTCACATGTTAGGGTTAGGGTTAAAGGCCAGGGTTAGGGTTGAGAGCTAGGGTTAGAGTTAATGGCTAGGGTTAAGAGCTAGGATTAGGGTTAAGAGTTAGGGATAGAGGTGGGGATAGAGGTAATCATTAGGGTAAGGGTTAGTGGTAAGTGTTAGGGTCAGCATTTAAATGCTAACAATTACTGCTAACCCTAACTCTAACCATGTCTCTAATAGTGATGGCCTTCATGTTTGAGTTGAACATTGGCCGTTTGTGTGTTCGGTGAACACACGAGTGGTAAGGGCGTTTGGCTGGCTGTTCGCCCGCTGAGTCCCACAATGCACGGCACTCTCACAGTGCATTGTGATTGACCAAAGCAATGCACCTGAACACAGGTCAGGTGCATTTCTTTGGCCAATTACAGCACAATTGTGTGGAGCTAGCGGTGACGTCAACGCTAGCTCCACCTAACTGTTTACATCTGACTGGAAGATGTCAGATTGTGGCGAGTACTTGGGGTCAGCGGCAGCGTTTGTTTAAAATTTTGGTGGGTCGGTGTCATCATGACAATACTGAACGCCATGATTGACGATGGATTACAATGATAGAACCATTTTTGTGGTTTTTTTTTTATTTAAAGGACTTGTCAAAAACTGGTGTGTTTTTATTCACATTTTACACTTTTTTGGTTAACAAGTAGAGTTAATATGTACCCCATACTCATTCCCAAGGGGGAGACTGGGATCTGGGGGCCCCCTTGTTAAAGGGGGCTTTCAGATTCCAATGAGTCACCCACAGCAGACCCCCACAAATACATCCCAGGGTTGTGGGGAAGAGGCCCTTGTTCCCATTTCAAACCTTCCACATGCTGAGGGCAAGTGGCCTGATAAGCTGCAGGGAGGGTTGTTCGTCCCCCCTCCTTTTCTGGCCTGCCAGGCCTGGGCTCAGATCAAGGGTCTGGTAGGACTTTCAGTGGATGACCCCACGCTTTTTTTCCCCCCATTTTTTTTTAGCTAAAATCCATTATAATGCTTTAATATTTGCTACAGAATTCTTGTCTAATCTAACACCTCTCTTGATCTCATAGGTTTTGTTTGATATAGAGATTATCACACTCAGCATGTGTCAGTTCACACGCCCCCTCATCAATACATCTACATTATAAACTGGGAACTGATATAACTGACAAGGTGTAATTACTTCAGACTCTGAACAGAAGAAGGTAAATGTTGAGCTTGTGATCACAATGATGCGCAAGGGTTCTTTTTTTATACAATGCATTTTGTCGGGCAGTATTTAACTAATTCCAGGCATCAGTATGTTATACATAGTTATATTGGTTCAACTACAAAATAACTACAAATATACCATACCTAGCCAATGTCCCCAGAAGCTGGAAATAACTGAAGCAGATACTGCTAATCCTGTGATCTTAACTTGCTGCTGGGCCCCATGCCAAGTGGCTGCTCTCCTACATTGTGAACACTGGCACCATACAGTGAATGTTTTCCATTCTGAAGCAATTACCGTATTTTCCGGCGTATAAGACGACTGGGCGTATAAGACGACCCCCCTACTTTTCCTGTTAAAATATAGGATTTGGACTATACTCGCCGTATAAGACTACCCCTCTTCCAACGCACACCAAATAAAAATTAAAAAACATCAGATTTGATTTCAATATGGTATGGTGTTTTAGTATGGTATTCCAATGATGGGGCGCTATTCCTCCCACTGACACCAATGATGGGGCACGATTCCTCGCTCTGATACCAATGATGGGGCACTATTCCTCCCACTGACACCAATGATGGGACACTATTCCTCCCACTGACACCAATGATGGTGCCCCATCATTAGTGTCAGTGTGTGAGGAATAGTGTCCCATCATTAGTGTCAGTTGGAGGAATAGTACTCCATCAGTGTCAGTGGGAGAAATAGTGCCCCATCATTGGTGTCAGTGGGAAGAATCATGCCCCATAATTGGTGTCAGTGGGAGGAATAGTGCCCCATCATTGGTAGCAGTGGGAGGAATAGTGTCCCATCATTGGTGTCAGTGGGAGGAAAAGTGTCCATCATTGGTGTCAGAGTGAGGAATCGTGCCCCATCATTGGTGTTAGTGGGAGGAACAGCACCCCATCATTGGTGTCAGTGGGAGGAATAGCACCCCATCATTGGTGTCAGTGGGAGGAATCGTGTCCCATCATTGGTATTAGTGGGAGGAATAGCGCCCCATCATTGGTATCAGTAGGGGGAATAGTGCCCCATCTTTGGTGTCAGTGGGAGGAATAGTAACCCATCATTGGTGTCATAGCGAGGAATCGTGCCCCATCATTGGTTTCAGTGGGAGGAATAGCACCCCATCATTGGTGTCAGTGGGAGGAATAGCACCCCATCATTGGTGTCAGTGGAAGGAATAGCACCCCATCATTGGTGTCAGTGGGAGGAATCGTGCCCCATCATTGGTATAAGTGGCAGGAATAGTGCCCCATCATTGGTGTCAGTGGGAGGAATCGTGCCCCATCATTGGTATCAGTGGCAGGAATAGTGCCCCATCATTGGTATCAGTGGGAGGAATAGTGCCCCATCATTGGTATCACTGGGGGGAATAGTGCCCCATCTTTGGTGTCAGTGGGAGGAATAGTGCCCCATCATTCGTGTCAGAGCGAGGAATCGTGCCCCATCATTGGTATCAGTGGGAGGAATAGTGCCCCATCTTTGGTGTCAGTGGGAGAAATCGTGCCCCATCTTAGGTGTCAGTGGGAGGAATAGTGCCCATCATTGGTGTCAGTGGGAGGAATAGTACACTATCATTGGTGTCAGTGGGGGAAGGAATAGTGTTCCAACATTGGTGTCAGTGGGGGGTGGAATAGTGCCCCATCATTGGTGTCAGTGGGGGGAGGAATAGTGCCCCACCGTTGGTGTCAGTGGGTGTGAGGAATAGTGCCCCATCGTTGGTGTCAGTGGGGGGGAGGAATAGTGCCCATCGATGGTGTCAGTGGGGGGGAGGAATAGTGCCCCATCGTTGGTGTCAGTGGGGGGGAGGAATAGTGCCCCATTGTTGGTCTCAGTGGGGGGGAGGAATAGTGCCCCATCGTTGGTGTCAGTGGGGGGAGGAATAGTGCCCCATCATTGGTGTCAGTGGGAGGAATAATGCCCCATCATTAGTATCAGTGACACCAATAATGGGGCACTATTCCTCCCACTGACACCAATGACACTTGCTGACCCCTGTTCCAGCATGGTGCTGCTGCAGCCAGCATACGTGGTTGCAGCAGCACCATCTGCACGGCACACTTACCATTGCTCCCTCACTCGATGTTCGCGGGGCCGCTCAGCTCCGCCTCCTCGCTGGTGATTGGCCGCCTGTGTGCCTTTTCTGAGCTACAATTCTGGCGTCCAATCACCGGTGAGGAGGCGGAGCCGAGCAGACCACGCGAACATCGAATGAGGGAGGGCCGGTCCGAACTGAATGAAGGAGCAGCCGCGCTTCCTGGACTGGATCGTCGTGGTACTGGGACCGGAGCCCCCGGCCCGCCCCTGTACTTAGTGTCTCTTCCGTTGGAAGGGGGGGCGGCACCACGTCTCCCCCCTAAAAAGTGCCGCCCTAGGCAAATACGCCCCTGGCTACACCGGCTCGGAAGTGTCAACAGGCCGTATATCGGCGTATAAGACGACCCCCGACTTTTGAGAAGATTTTCATGGGTTAAAAAGTCGTCTTATACGCTGGAGAATATGGTGGGTGAGGTGGAGAGAGTGACATCACTGCCCTGCCTCGCAGACCTACTGTGTTCAGTAAACAAAGGTGTAGCTGCTCCAGACCTTAACCTCCCTAGCGGTCTGATTATGTCAGTATTTCTGTGCTAAAAGCAGTACATTGTTTTCAATGGAAATATGTGGTTTTTTTTATTGTAGGCCTGTAATTCTTAGGAATAATTCACTGAAATCTGTTTAAACAAGAGTCTAGTAGACATCTTTGGTGCAATAAAGTTTAATAAATTAATTCATAAATTATAATATAATAAAAAAGTATAATATAATAATAAATTAAATAATGTAATCAAATCAAACACACGGAACTCTGTCCAAACAATATTATATAGACACTGCATTTTGTTTTAGAAAACATCGCGGGTGTGGTAAATTTTGAAACACGGGACTGCACAAAGTCGGGCATCGCAATCAGGACAGTGGAACCTCATTTCCTTGCAAATTTTTTTACCACTCTCATCTCGCCGAGAGCAACATACCACGCACATCCGTGTAGGTGCTGCCTTTTTTGGGGTTGGTGGGATGTGGTCCATAAAATGACGTCCAGTCAGACGTTCTGGGTTGACAACTCCCACAGCATGCTGTCCGGATCTACCCACAGACACTGAATGTGTTTGATGCTTGAGGAAAATGAATTCCGCAGCTTTCCAGATAAAGTCCACTTGAACCACAAGATTGTCACTGTTTTTGCAGAACATAATATAGGCATTCCACAAACACTGTTCCAGAAGATGCCAGAAAATCTTTTTATAGTATTTCCTCTGCTGCTTTCTCATCGCCGGATAGAAAGTCATAGCTTGGTCAGCTCTGTCGACACCTCCCATGGTGCTGTTGTAGTCAATGACAACCTGAGGCTTCTGAATGTTTTTCCCACCTTTTGTTTGTGCCATCACTATGAAGACATTGTGATCTGTACTCATTAGGCACACATCCTTCTTGTCCCGCCATCTAAGTGCAATCATTTTGCTTTTCTGCCAGGCAACTAATTCTCCCGACTTCAGTTTGTTTTTTGCAAAACATGGATGCAGGTTGCGCCAGTTAGCCCGAACGGTTCCATAGGCATCCGTTTTGTGCTGAAGAAGAACCTCGTAAAGTTCTGGAGAGGTGTAGTAATTGTCCAGTATTACACAGTAGCCTTGGTTTAGCAGAGGCTCAATCAGTGACAGGACGGAAGATGTTGCCATTCCGTAGTTGCTGTACTTGGGATAAAATTTTGTGCCTTTGCCGGTGTATATGACTGTGTTCCAGATGTAGCTGGTAGAGGATTCACACAGCAGATATGATTTGACACCAAATCGTGCTCACTTGGACGCGATATACTGTATCCAGCTGAGCCTACCTTTGTAGGCCATTAGACTTTCATCTATGCTGATGTCTCTCTCTGGCACATACAGTTGCAAGAAAAAGTATGTGAACCCCTTGGGATTACGTGGAGTTTTGCATGAGTTGGGCATAAAATGTGCTCTGAACGTCATCTAAGTCACAACCATAGAAGAACACAGTCTGCTGAACATAATACTACACAAACATTAGATGTTGCCATGGTTTAATTGCACATAATATGTAAAACATTCACAGTGCAGGGAGGAAAAAGTATGTGAACCTTTGGACTTAATAACAGTTTGACCCTCCTTTGGCAGCAATAACCTCAACCAAACGTTTCCTGTAGTTGCAGATCAGACCTGCACAACGATCTGGAGTAATTTTGGACCACTCCTCTTCACAAAACTGTTTCAGTGTGGCAATATTCTTGGGATGTCTGGTGTGAATCGCTCTCTTAAGGTCATGCCACAGCATTTCAATCGGGTTGAGGTCAGGACTCTGACTGGGCCACTCCAGAAGGCGTATTCTGTGCTGTTTCAGCCACTGTTTTGTTGAATTACTTGTATGCTTTGGGTCATTGTCCTGTTGCATCACCCATCCTCTACGGAGCTTCAGTTGGCAGACAGATGGTCGTACGTTTTCCTGCAAAATGTCTTGATAAACTCTGGAATTCATTTTCCCATTAATGACAACAATCCGTCCAGGCCCTGAGGCAGCAAAGCAGCCCCAAACCATGATGCTCCCTCCGCCATGTTTTACAGTGGGGATGAGGTTTTGATGTTGGTGTGCTGTGCCTTTTTTTTCTCCACACATAGTGTTGTGTGTTCTTCCCAAACAACTCAATCTTGGTTTCATCTGTCCACAGTGTATTTTGCCAGTAGTGCTGTGGAACATCCAGGTGCTCTTTTGCAAACTTCAAACGTGCTATAATATTCCTTTTGGACAGCAATGGCTTCCTCCGTGGTGTCCTCCCATGTACTCCATTCTTGTTTAATGTTTTCCTTATTGTAGATGTGTCAACAAAAATGTTAGCATGTGCCAGAGATTTCTGTAGGTCTTTAGCTGACACTCTGGGATTCTTCTTTACCTCATGCAGCATTCTGCGCTGTGCTCTTGCAGTCATTTTTACAGGACGACCACACCTAGGGAGAGTAGCAACAGTGCTAAACTTTCTCCATTTGTAGACAGTCTGTCTTACTGTGGACACATGAACATCAAGGCTTTTGGAGATACTTTTGTAACCCTTTCCAGCTTCATGCAAGTCAACAATTATTGATCGTAGGTCTTCTGAGAGCTCTTTTCTGCGAGGCATGGCTCACATCAGACAGTACTTCTTGAAACCAGTAAACCCAAAGCGTGTGTCTGTTTTTTAAGGGCAGGACAGCTGTCAGCAACACATCCAATATCATCACACTGATTGGAGTCAAGGTTGGCTCACTCCTGGCTCTAAATAGCTCTGGGAGAAGTCATTAAGCTAGGGGTTCACATACTTTTTCCTCCCTGCACTGTGAATGTTTACATGTTATGTGCAATTAAACCATGGCAACATCTAATGTTTGTGTAGTATTATGTTCAGCAGACTGTGTTCTTCTATTGTTGTGACTTAGATGACGTTCAGAGCACATTTTATGCCCAATTCATGCAAAACTCCACGTAATCCAAGGGGTTCACATACTTTTTCTTGCAACTGTGCTCTGCTGGAAATTTCTTACAATTATTTGGGAGACTTCCCAATTTTTTTTTTAGCTTGGGAGCTGGATGAGTCAATTCATCAAAATCCTCATTCTTTGCAAAGTGCAAAAAATTCATGATGAGGGAAAAGCTGTACTCCGACATGACGGTGCCAAAGAACGGCGTGGAGAGCATTTTGTTGGTGGTCCAGTACCACTTCTGCAGCGATTTCCCCACCACTCCTTGCAGAATAATTAGGCCGAGAAACAGCCAAATGTCCTCTTTGGTGACAGGCTCCCACTTTCTGCTTCATGAAAACCGGCTGTGTGGAGCAGCTAGTTGTTGTGCTGCGTACCTATTTGTCTCCATCATAATAATTTCAATAACCTCATCGGTCAGAAACAATTCCAAGTACGCCAAGGGGTTGTCACCTTAAACGTGTATTTTCATACCAGGTGCACTGATAAATGGAAATCTTGGCATCGCTGGCATATCAATCAATAGTGCACCATGTGCACAGATCACTCACGTCAATCTCAGATTCGCCGATGTCTTCACTTTCGGTGTCTGAAGACAAATCGCCACATGAGTCGCTATCACTCAATTCAAGTAGCTCCTCACTGTCGCTGTTCGTTAGCTCATCATAAACCGCTTTAGCGCTAGCGAGGCGCTTTTTGGAAGCCATGAGCGCAAAACCATTTTTAGTCACAGAAACTGAAAAACTGCAGTATGGAAATATCTGAGGTAAAGTTACAATGTATGCACTAGAGTAACACTTTATTTTGACAGTGATCTATTTTTATAATTACCGCCTTCTGCAAGCCCGCCCCCCGACGGCACAGCGTGGCAGACTCACGCTGATCACACTGATCAGCGTGAGATACCAGGGAACCAGAGAAGCAGGGAAGGAGACTGGGGACGGACAGAGGGGATGGCTGCTGGCATCGCAGTACCCGGGACATGGATCGGCACCAGGTAATTAGATTGCGGAGAGCCCAAGTCTGGCTCGGGGTTACCGCTTTTGACAGCAAGATTTAACCCGAGCCAGACTCTGGAAAACCGCTAGGGAGGTTAAGCGAGTGGAAGTCTCTGGAGTAGCAGTGTCTCCTTCAGTGATTTACAGCCTCCAGGGGTATCTGCCAGGTATGGTATATACATAGTTGCATTGGTCCAAGTTGGACCAATGTAACTATGTATAACATACCGGTGCCTGGAATTATTTTTTGATGCTTTATCCTAAAGTTTGGTATACACGAAAAGCAAAAAGGAATAAAGCATAAAGTTAACATTTGCTATGCAACACAAATATTCAATTATGTGTGGGACTCTTACATATTAGCTTTTTCTCCTTCATACCTGGCCATACAAGGTTCAGTTTTCAAGCTGAACAATAAAAACTGAACCAATTCCCCCATCCATGCATTCGAGGTGGTTGAGGAAATCCTCCCCACTGTACTATTGTATTCTGAGAACAGGGAGACTCAGAATACACAAATCAGCTCTAGAGTCATTGGCTGCACCCGCTAACCAAGTGGCTTTTATCCGACAGGGCAATTGAACTTAAGTCATCAGTAAATCGACTTCTGTTCAACTGCAGTAGTCACACATAGAATTAAATTTGTCCACTCCCTGCTGAACCAGCCAAATTTCAATTCATCTAAGGCCACATTTTTTTTAAAGTAGAAACTATTCCAAGAACACATATTTTAGCTTCATACATAAAAAAATAATAAAAAAAGGAAATAAAAGTAATACAAATTCAAAACTAGGACTGTCAGACTGTGATCATGTATGGCAAAAATGTCTACAAAAGGATTTGGTACTGACATCCAGTGTGGATCTTAAGCTGCTTTAAATGTGTCCTTAATCTGGTGTGTTGCTGTGCTTTAAAGTGTTCCTAAACCCAAAAGCAAAAATGTAATAAATTGCAGCTTACTAGTCCTTTGGTTGTGTTGACTATATTAAATTTCACTTTTCAGACTAAGAACAATTTCAGTAAAGAAAATACCTGTTGTTCTAAAAAGAAATTGAATGCCTTGTCACTTCACGTGCACTGAAAAGGAAACACAAAGAACCTTATCTCTATCGTGTAAGATACTAGTTCCTTCAATCCACCATAAAATAGAGATGACTAAAGGCAGACAGGTCCTAAATTGGAAACTCAAATACTTACAGTTAAATAATAAAAATAAAAAACATGTCATACTTACCTGCTCTGTGCAGTGGTTTTACACACAGCAATCACAATCCTCCTCTTGGGTCCCCTGCTGTGCTCCTGGCCCCTCCCTCCTGCCAAGTGCCCCCGTAGCAAGCAGCTTTCTACGGGGGCACAGGAGCAGACTTATTCCTGAGCCGCTGCTCTGTGTGTCCATTCACACAGAGCTTAGCCTCAACCCCCTCCCCCTTTCTCTCCTAATTGGCTCACTGGCGCTGACTGACAGCAGTAGCAGGAGCCATTTGCTCAGGCTGCTGTCTCAGCTAATGAGGAGGGAGAGTTCCCGAAGAGCTGAGACTCTTGTGCATATCAATGAGGCTCAGGTAAGTATTGGGGGGGCTGCACTGAATTGAGGTTTTACAACCACTTTAGGCTGGCCATAGATGGATCGAAATTCGTCTGGTTCAGCAGAGACCAGTAGAGTTTCGATCCATCTCTAATTATTGACTCCTGTAGGATGGAAATATTGGAAATTTTTTTTGAAAATGGGCTGCAGCCAATTGTCCAGCTGTCAGAATACAATGGCACAGCGAGACTGATTCTTCCAGTCACCCCACTTGTATGGATGGAGCATAAAAGAGAGAGAATCAGCGCCATCTAAGTGCAGCAATATAAGCAAATAATTGATTCCACAAAATTGCCAACTCACAATAGTAGTAGTCAAATGAGCACTTGTCAACCTGAAGTCAACCCCTGTGCAACTCCTGGCTAGTCCCGCTGCAGGCAAGTCTCCAAAGCACTGTCCTTGGCTGTGCTCGTGGCTCCCAGTACTTCCTGGTCAGTGTGGCTCCTCAGAGCAGGTGGGAGTGATATCAGGCCATAGAGGGGTCATATATTGGCAAATGCTAGTGGTGGACTGTAGGGCTCAGCCAAACTCAGACCCAAAAAAATACAAAAAATATATCAAGCCTTCCTCTCTTAAACTAGTTAGACTAAGCACTCTTAAATTAAAATACAATAAATAAAATACAATAA